TATATATATAATAATAANAATAATAATATATATATATATATATATATATGTGTGTGTGTGTGTGTGTGTGTGTGTGTGTGTGTGTGTGTGTGTATTATTAATGATAAGTTATATTAATATTATTAATATTAAATTAATTAAAAATAGAATTTTTTAAATGAATATAGATTATTATATTAAATATTTTTGTCATTGATTGAAATATCATAGAGAAAATATAATTTATAATTTATTTTGTAATTGTATATTAAAGATATTTTGCAACTACATCAATACAATTGAGAATGGCTTGTAAATATAAAGACTCAATGGAAAAAAGGCACATATTACATGTATAATTATATTTTTTTATATTATTGACTAATTGTTGCATTCTAATATTGACTAAATGTTGCAGTCTAATTAAATTACTTTCTAGCACTGTGACATGTAATATTTTATAAATAGAAAAAAATTAAAATTTCTTCATATCGAAAACAAATAAATAATTAAAACTTAAAAATAGATTTATTATATTAATGAAAAAGAATTAAAGAATTTACAAATTTTTATGTAGTTTTATTTTTATGCTTTATTTTTTTCAAGTATGTATGATGTAAATAAAAAGAAAAAAAACATATTCATGAAATTTAATTGAAAAGATTTGTTGCACCTCAAAAAATATCATAAATTCATTTAACAAAATAATGTATTATAATTTATTTTTCTTTAAAAATTTCTGATGAAATGAAAGTTATAGCATATATTATATTATATGTTTTTTATATTAGACCCTTCAATTTTAAATTAAATTGAAGGAACAAAATATATAATCATTAAAATTTAAAAAAAATTCGGAATTAACAATGAGCAATGAAATAATAAAATATATTGATAAAAAGAATATTATTTTGGTCATATTTTTGGAATATTCATACTTTTATCGAATTTGCGATAAATAGAAAAAGATAAAAATGTATATAATAAGAAAGAAACATTTGCTTATGAAATATTTCGTTTTTCGGACGCTGTCAGCGTGCATGCAACAGACGTAAAATACAAGACAAGGAACGTGTAACATGTTCGCCGGTGCGAACGAGTCGAAACGATGGCTCAGGGATAATAGGATACTCTTGAGGTAAATTAAAATGCCCACATCATGGTTGCATATCCCTTAAACCTTTTAGGACGGATTTTTTTTATAAGAAAATATTTATTATTTTAAATCATTATTCTAAATATGATTTTATTATTTTTCTTTATAATATACTGCAAAACAACCAATAATATAAAACATAAAATTTTTATAAGATATTTTTTCCAGTTCGATAGATTTAAATGATTTTTCATTTTGAATAGAAAATATAAACATTAAAAAACAAATTAATGAAAGACTATATGTATTTTTGTATCAAATAAACGAACTTGAAATTTTTAATAAAACTAAATATCTTAATCATTAAAAAATGTTTTTTAAAATTATATTGTTAAATCTATCATCCGTCCTGAAGTGGTTAACCAAAATATTTGTATAGGTTATCTAACGGTTTTAATATAGTTTTAAGTTTTAATGTATTTCGTTGAAATTATGCTAGTTTATTATTAATTATGTTTACAAAATTATATATGTAGGATTGCTATCGTTTTGACACGATTTTGTCCTGTATAATACTTTGATCTCTTTTGTCATTTCAAACATCTAATAGCATAATAGATCTTTGTGGCTATTATTCGCTTTTGTCTTTATAAATTCATACAATGAAGATATTTAGCATAAGTCATCTAAAATATAAATATTCTTCTTTTATAGTTCGAATAATATATCATATGTGAGGAAAGAAATATATAAAATGTAAAGAACTTCAACTTTTGGATTATCAATACACGAATATATGCACGCGGTTTTCTACTTGCGTGATATTTTAACTTATATATATTTTCAGCTCAATCGCTTCGACTCCACATTACTGTTATGTATGATCAACATTAATAATACCATTTAAACATTCAAAATATTTGTATTTTTTATAAAAGGAAAACTTGTATAAAACCGTATATTTAAAATAATATTATTTTATTTTATTAAATGATTATGTAATGTTAATTTGTATATTTAAGTAAATATTATTAAAATAATATAATTGAAATTATTATGTAAAAAAAGGAATACTTATATTTATATGAAGATATATTTTCTACAAACACTTTGATAAACTGAAGAAATATCGAACAAAAAAACGAGATAAATATTCTAAATGCGTTTTATTAATTTAGACCAACCACTTCTAGTAGTCAAAATCAAATTGTATGGTAATCAGCATTTATCACATGAATCAAATTTCGAATAAATACTGTATTGTAATATTTATATCAAAATCAAGTGTTATAAAAATATTTATCAATTTTATAATATTTAGTATAATTATAGGAAATTATAAGATTATATGAAAAATATGTTCTATAAAAATTAGTATTCAAAACTTTGATAATATTCTTCGGAATATAATTAAATTTTTATTACATATTTATAATATTTATAATGTTCTTTGATTCTAAATACATAAATAAATTGATTTTTATATTTTTTTTTATATTTTTTTTTTTAATTATTTATTGTTCTATATTCTCTTTACATACATATAGTTATCAGTATACGATATTGTATATTTTGTATTACAAACATTAAAAAATTTAATGTTTTACTCTTTCTATCATTATATAAGTTACTATATTTTTCGAATAAAAAATCATGTTTAGAATATTCTTTTAGAGCTGCCAAGGATTTAGAAGAACGTCGTAGCCATTATGAACCATCACTCGGACCTGGTATACCAGATGATGTCGATCATCACTTTAATCTTGAAGAAAATGATTTTGTCCCACACTTTCAAAGGGTATCCATATCCGGTGAAGATACTTCCGGGGTATGTATAAAATGTATAAAATTTTAATTGATTTTTAAATATATTAAATATCTCATACAAAATGAAATTATAATTACTTTTTACTCCAAAGATTTGAAATAAGTTTCTTAATTCTCTTAAAATTTATAGATATTATTATTAATTATTTAATTGTAATTAAACTATAATAGATATTTTAATCGATAGAATCAATTGATATTCGTGTATATATCTATGTTCGTAGAAGACTTTGTTCTTTTTGAGATTTCTATGAGATGAAACCTCAAAAGTGTTGTCTTATGTAGGAAATCCCTATTATATACCACTATTTTGCCCGTCCGTCCATCTTTCATCATTTTATAAAAAGCTTTCTTAATTTTTAAACTATTGTATTATATAATATGTAATTATGTAATGTATAATTATGTATTAAAAATTTCTTTTTATATTCCAATAAAAAAAAAGTAAAGAGAGATGATATAAAATTTAAGAGATTTAAGTAATATTGAAATTAGAAAATTCTTAATATTATATATTTATAGGTACCTTTGGAAGATTTACAGCAAGCGTCCCAGATGTTGGTTCAAGCATTGGCAATACGTGAAAAATACATGAATAATTCTAAACAGAGTTTTCCTTCTATAACATCACGGTTTTTACGCAGCATCGATAAAAGACCAGTAAGCAGTGACGATGAAGTTCAACATGATGATCGTAAAGCTATCGCTGGTATTTATTCCAAATTTACGAAATTATATTTTTCTTTTAACATTTAATTTTTTCTATCAATCCCTTGATCAATTCTTTTTTATGTTAATCATATTTTTGATATTAAATTTTTATGATATAAAATCAACTTAATGTATTGTTTCTCAAGGTAAAAGTTGCTGTTAGAAGTTGAAAATGAAATTATGGATCTGATGTAGACATCAATGCACTCAAAGATGCGTCTTAAAAGGTCCTTCTCCCATTCTTATCCTTTGTTGAAAAATTTTTTAATTATATTATTTTATGTATATAATAGATAAAATTAATCCTCTTTCCATATTAATATAAAAATTAAAAAATATAATGATATTTTAATATTTGTTTTTTATAAATTTTAATAGATCATCCTGTACATGCACCTGCATCTCGAGGAGATCCATGGAAATGTGAATTTCCTCCAGCAAAAAATTATATAATTGCTCCAGTCAATGGTGTTTTTAATGTATATGCAAATGAAGAAGATTTCGTCGATGGAAAGCCAATTCTTTATTCATATCCTGATTTAGCAACTTTTGTCAGAGATATGAATCTTCTTTGTACAATGATCGCCGATGGTCCATTAAAATCCTTTTGCTATAGAAGACTGAGTTATCTTTCATCAAAATACCAACTGCATGTGTTATTGAATGAGCTTAGAGAACTTGCCAGTCAAAAAGCAGTTCCTCATAGAGATTTCTATAATATCAGAAAAGTTAGTATGAGAGAAATATAAATAATAGAATATAAATAATTATATTACATTACATTATAATTAGTTCATAAATCATAAATATTTATAATTAATAAAGAGAGGAATAATTTATAATTTATTAATTAAAATGATGTTTTTGATTTCAGGTTGATACACATATTCATGCAGCATCTTGTATGAATCAAAAACATCTGCTTAGATTTATTAAAAAAACCTTAAAGAATCATGCAGACGAAATTGTAACATGTTCTAAAAATAAAGAAACAATGACCCTTCGAGAAGTATTTCAATCAATGAATTTAACGACTTACGATCTTAGTGTTGATATGTTGGATGTACATGCAGTAAGTTTATATTACTGAATTCATCCATATATAAAAATCCATATATAAAATATTATATAAAATATAAATATAAATAAATTTATTTTTAAAATTTATTTATATTTTATTAATATATTTTATTTATATCTTTTTTTTTAGGATAGAAATACATTTCATAGATTTGATAAATTCAATGCTAAATATAATCCTATCGGTGAAAGTCGTCTCCGTGAAGTATTTCTTAAAACGGATAATTATTTAAATGGTAAATTTTTCGCAAGTATAATTAAAGAAGTTGCCAGTGATCTCGAAGAATCGAAATATCAAAATGCGGAATTACGTCTTTCGATTTACGGTAAAAGTCCGGAAGAATGGGACAAATTAGCAAAATGGGCAATTCAAAGCGATGTGTATTCGGATAATGTACGCTGGCTTATTCAAATTCCACGACTTTAGTAAGTTATAGTATATGCATATATATATATATTATTGAAATGTTGAATTTAAAGTAAAATCATATTCTGATATTTATCATTTTATAGTGATATTTTTAAATTGAACAAATTGATGACAAACTTCCAAGAGATATTGAACAATATCTTTCTTCCTCTTTTTGAAGTGACAAATGATCCTAATTCTCATCCAGAATTACATAAATTCCTTCAATATGTAAGTAGATATAACAAACAGATTTTGATAATTTTCAGAATTCTTAATATTGAATATTATAGGTAATAGGATTTGATTCCGTTGATGACGAAAGTAAACCCGAAAATCCTTTATTTGACAAAGACGTTTGTCCACCTGCAGAATGGGATGATGTTGAAAATCCTCCTTACGGATATTATCAATACTATACTTATGCAAATATGACTGTTCTAAATCATTTCAGAGCGTAAATATATCTTTACGATTATTATCGATATATAATTATTTGATATTAATTATTTATATATATATATATATATATATATATATTATATATATTGTTTTTAGTAGAACAAGG